GGTGTATAATATTCCTGGAATCAATGAGCTCTGCTCGTTGTGATCAACAAGTTACATGAACAATACAATTCTCTTTTGCTGTCCAACCYCTGCCACACTGTGTTTTGGCAAAAATAAGAATACATCTGGGTTTGTATTGTGAAACTTGCCTTTGACCTTACTCAGGATAGCCACAGGTGTGTAACCACTTAAATTACGATAATAAAGACTGTATTTTTTTGTCATTTTTAAATAGGCTTTTCTGGGGCAGCTACAGGGCAGATTTCACTGAACTGCAAAGTGCCTATGCATACAGTTTTATTGTCTCTTATTTTCACTGGACTGTATCAAAGTAATTATTTAGCAACCATCAGAACTATGTGGGTTTTTCTGAAAGTATTTAATAGGTACTAAGTGATACAAAGCCAGTAGTCTCMCTCGACTGCATTGTCTGTCTACCAACACCTATTGTTGGCTTCAGAAAAGCACTGTCAGATGCTGCTAGCCAAGCTGGGCCTTAGCCTGCCACTGCAGTGCCTGTCAGGAATCATTAGCTAGTGATCTCTTTGACTAATGGTCCAGTTGATTGTCTGATTCATGTTCAAGATCTGTAAATGAGGCAGAAGTATCTTTCCTGCTCACCAGCTGTGAAATGGCTAAACACAGCTAGATTTGTAGAAACAAAATAAATGTATTTCCAATAAAGTTTGGCCACAATATCAAATCTAAAGCTGACAGCAGAACTAGGTTTTTTTGTTTTTTAAAGTTACAGTATTATAAATCAACGTTATCTCATCACGTGCTTGTCAGAGAAATATATTTTACCRAAACAGTGAACTACTGGTAGTAGCATTAATCTTGTTTTGAGTTGGATAGATGTTCTTTATTCAACATAAATTCATAGTTCCCATATTTACTCTTTTGTCCATTATCCCCRGATGTATCAGTGTTCAGCACAGCCTCTGTCCTTATGTCTGAGTCCTGTGTATGCTAATGGGGTGTGCATTCTTGTTTTTTATGTACTATGGAAGAAGTACAGGTGTAACAACAATAAAAAATAAAAKGTGGGGTTTTGAAAGGAGGGGGACTTGGGGGAGGAGCTCCTGTATCTGTTTTATATTCATGGAATAACCCCTGGAGGGTCAGCATGACATAATCYTGACATAACTGAGAAGTAAATCAGGCCTGAGATCTTACTCGTATTTTCCTCAGCAAAAGAGGTAAATAKGAAATTCACCACTAGCTACAGAACTAGTGCAAGAGGTATTCCACAAAGAGGCTCTAGTTTGTGGATTTAAGCAGAGCTTCATACTTTATTTATACWGTAATTGTATACACAAGAGACTTACAAAGATGTGGGAAGAGAGCTGTTTTTTTGTGAATGGACACTCCCACAGAAGTTATCCTGTGGTCTGTTACATGGAAGACAAAGTTGMAGTCCACCTTCAGCTTCTACCCTCCCATATCATGCACAAAAGAAGGATATTCATGTCTCTATTAGACTTTCATTTTACTGTTATTTGGTTTTTTTTAAATTAGTATTTCCACAGACCCACAGAAGTAGAAAGTTTGAGATAGTCTGTGGGCTTGGTCACATTGATACAAAAACTAATCTGTGATCAGAATCAGTGTGGTTTTTATAATTTTCATTTTGTTAAACTTAGGTTACATTTTTTGTATAGAAACAGAAAGAACTGCACRTTATTCTAATCTGTTCAACTTCATATACAATAACCTTTTCCTACTAGTTGCTAGGAGTATCAAACTGTCTTTGAAACAGTATGAAAATTTTATAATAATTTATAATGGAGTCTAACATGAACAGCTTCCTTCTTCAGAACTCAGTACATAGCTAATTCTAAAATAACAAACAAAACAAAATCTAAAGAAAAAAAAAAAAGACCTTTTGCCCCTTCAGTAACTCTAAATCTCTGAAAATTGTCCAAGGTTTGAGAAGGAAATTTAGCTAAATGTGCGTAATACCCAAACTCATTGTTTTTAATATACATTACCTGTATAGATTCTTACATGGTCCCATTCAATAGCTCTTTAGACATTATTATATATTTTTATTAATATTTCCTTAACTGGAAGAAGATTACCAAGATAACATTTACAAATCTAATATTTRCTATAGAATACTGTAGCAGAAGCATCTTACCTTAATAAGATGATTTTACTTTTGTTGTCTGAATTTTTCCCATCCTGTAAAACTGCACATTTGTGTAGGAGTTTCCATTATTTGTTATTGATTGTTCCACCTCTTCCCTGAATGCCATTATYCCCTGCAAAGAATGGGCAATATAGATGTATAGATATATATAGACATATAGATATATATGTAAAATGCCTATTTCTTGCTATGCTTCTGTCTAAAAGCAGGAAAACTTTMCAGGAAACCTATAAATTCCATTAGATCCAAATGATAAGTGTTCCCAATATTTATCCACTTCTCAGAGAGCTGATAGATGACTGGCACATCCCTGCCCATTCAATCTCTCTCTGCCACAAATTTGCCAATCAAAACTCTCTGCCACATGCATGTCATTCCCTATGTGGTATCCACAGGAAGCCGGTTAGATGGACTGCTTGTTCCTATCCCGTAAAAACAAACAGGAAATTTTCATGCCCATTTRTTGTTTTTAGGCTTTTTACAGATTCTGGCAGGTATCACTGTGTTGATTCTACTTGATTTTCCAGCATGCAAACTTTATATTTTAATTTTAAATGAAAATTAAAAGTGTGCTCTAATTGCAGGAGACTTCAGGTGAAATCGTATAATGCTTAATGCATTWAACCAACATTTTAGCCTGCCATATCTTTTCCTCTTTCTCTGTTYTGAAATGTTTCTATCCTGAGTGTTGAAGGTCTGGCATACATCCTAGGAGAGGAGACCCCTCTCCACTTCCTTCACATAAATGGATACTGAGCAGTTGTGGCATCCAGGGGCACTATAGAGCTCCATTCCATCAATCCCATGTGTCCCTTTTTGTGTCCCTGCATATTCCCTGAAGCTGGAGGAGTCATTTGAAATACCGACATAAATAGTACGTTTTCTATGGTAATTTATCAAGATTTCCTCTCTTTCGTGTAGATGAYTTAATTGATGTTATTTCCTCATTACTTAGAATGAAATATCTGGTTTGTAGTAGTAGYAGTAACCTGGGACCAAAGTGAGCACTTTTCATCAATATGAATGAGAGGCTTTATTTATTTACTTACTTCTTTCTTGCAGCTGTTGCAGAGATGCAATGAATCAACTTTTTACTTCAGCTCTGATGTGTATGATTTTTCCTTGGGTTTATCTGTACTTTTTAGGCTTTGTGACATCTTTAATGGAAATGTGCAGTACCCAAAGCCTTAGGTTCCTAAGTAACCTTTCTGTGCTTGGTAGTAATGACTAGAGGCCCTGTGTCCTAGTTTAATAGGCCAGATTAAACTAGGAGTGATTTCAGTCCAACACATAACATTTTTGACACCTCTTTACACTCTAATACAGGCACAATTATTACAACAAATGCTGTAGGTTTCCTGAGCTAAATGCAATACCATGAGCTGTTTYTAGGACATCTGTGTGTGTTTCTGCTGCCATCCTGGATTATTAGAGGGATGTACTGCAGGCACTGACAACATCAAGTATGTRTTCAGTCTAGTGAGAGTTCTGAACTGATGTGACAACTTCCTAACTGAGGTGCCTTTGTACTCCTTTTGTCACAGATAATGCATTGATAACTCAATTGGCAGTGACCTGCAAGGATAGGATGCTACGTTGGAATACAACTGATAAGAAAATACTTGAGGGATGATAAATAGGGCAGTGCACATTAGAAAATGCTTCTTTTTTTGCACACTGAGCTTATGTAGCTAAAAATAAGAGCCATGTCCAGGGATACTGCTGCAGGTAGTAAAACTCAAGAACTAGGAAATCCGCGTGGTGGAAACAGCAGGAGAAATGGTCACACCCACAGCATTAGCACACACAGGTTGTCTTCTTCTGAACCACACACTTTACCAGTAACAGGGGTTACAGTCTTAATAGAAAATGCTCTCAGTGTAAACAGGCATCCTGGGGCATGCAGGATACTGTCATTTGTCCCTGGGCATCTCCCATCCCCCTTCAGAGCTGGTAAATGACATTCACTACTCCTTTCTTGGAAATGTGCAAAAAGGATTTCCATAGAGGGTCTTTGGAGATTTCCTGTTTTCTCATGTGTGTAATAGATTGGGTCAAGCAACAAAGAGGAAGGATGAAAGACTAAGATTTAATTTTATATGCATTCTCCCGTCATCACCATTGAAAAAACAAGGATGAAAAGAGAAATTCTGCAATACAGGTGATGTCAGTGTTAAATCAAATTAAGATCATATGTTTTATGCAGCAGCCGTAAGCCCTCACTAATGGAAGGGTTCGTAATAATGGAGTAGATTCCAAATTAATGCTAACAAATTGCTTGTATTTGAGTAATGAATCAGAAAAATAGCAGAATTATCTACAGTACTTTAAGATAAGATAGCTTAAAATATGGAACTTGTAATTTATTCAGTTTGGGGGCATCTGAATTGTACTAAGATAAGTTGTGATTGATTAAGGAAAGAAAAATAATATTGCTGGTATTTCAGCATATCATTCTGAAACATTATGAATGCAAAGGATACCATCTTAAGTTATTGATTATCAGAAACTCGTAAAAGCACAGGCTCTTGAAATMTTTTAAATTATGGATAAGGAAATTTGTAGTGCAAATCAGGAAGTATCTCTGTTTTTTTCAAATTGCCAAAATACAGTGGTCTAATTGGAAATTACATCTTTTTGATTTGTAATTATTGAGRAGTTTCAAACAACTATAAGTAATAATCAAAACCCGAGTCCTGATATGGCTAATTAGAGAACAGTTGTAGAATTAGGAAAGCTTTAATTTTGTGTTCTCTGTGGACAAAGAGATGGGGAGCTGGGGGGAGGAAGAAAAAAGTGGAACTTCTTAATCATGATATTTACTGTGTTTTATCTTCCTGTTTCACAGATTTTAAACACCTCTGTACAAATCTTCACAACCCTTTGTGATTCYGCTGGCCTGGGCAGAGCATATGCAGCTGTAGCCAAGATCCTGGCAAGGTAGGTTAGCACATCCTTGTCTGACTGTCAGTGCAGATTCACTCAGCTGTGAAAGACTTAAATTGTTAGAGGTCTGTCGCTTCCCATTACTAACTGCTTAAATTTTAAGCAGTGCCCTTCTTGCAGTAAGTGACCCTTTCATAGAAAGTTATTTTGAACTGTTACACATTTTTTTAAGTGTATGGGTGCTAGTTTTTCTTTACCTGTAAACTAGAATATGTCCTTCTTCTTCCACATTTTGMGGGCTTTTCAAGTTGTAGGGGTTCTGGGKTTTTTTTTCTGTTTGGGAGGGGAACTGAACCTTACCTTACTGGAAAATAGAAATGCAGGCCTATTTTCCAGGTTAAGAAAGAAGAACCTAGCAAGTTTCAGTAGATGTCTCAATGTAACATCTGAACTAAATGTTTCTATCTATTGCACTCACTCTTTCTGTGAAGGCCTTTGTATTTTGTGCATGTGTAACCATGTACAAATTCATTGCAAATGCGATGCTTGTGTTCAATATTTGTGTTTCAGCATCCAGCATTAAAATCTTCTTCTGGTGAAATAGTTCTGACACAAATAATTTTGACATAGTCTAATGCAGTGATCATATGAGGTAGGGAAAAAAKATACTAAAGTGAAGTGCAGCCTCTTCTTGGTTCATCCTATATTTAAAGACCTCAGTGCATATGATACATGATAGAGGTTGGCGATTGTTTTTGGAGAGGATCTTGTCATGAGGTTTATTTTAGAGTGCAGAGCAAGTTCTCCTTGAGTCAGATTTCTTGTCTCTTGGCCTTATCAGAGCACAACCACAGCCCACTTCAGCTCTCAATTTATAATTCATGTCTACATGTATTCTGAGCATCCTAAACAAGGACATGGGGTGAGATATTCAAAAAGACACAGAACAGACTAAGAATACCAGGTCCCAGTTTTTAAACTGTCTTAAGCCTAACCAAGAAAGATTTAGTAGCTAAAACAGCAGCTGTTACAGTGAGTGGCGATGCAATGAGGACAAAGTTTTCTGAGCTCTCAGTAGCATTCATGAGCTACTCGTATTCACAAAAAGCAGCAGTCTGGGTAGAGGCTGGATTAAGGTAGTCAAGAGAACTTCCCTGAAAAACTATGTATGTTAATTTCCTCWGTGATTCAGGCATTCTGAAATGAGGGCACAGACATTTATTTACTCAGAAGTTATAGATTTTGAGATCTTTCTGAAGTCAGTTTGCTAAACCCTTCATCTGAAAGATCATGCCAATGCATTTCCTTCCTTAAAAGCAGACCTAAAGAAGGAATGACTACTGATTTTCTTCTGCATCCAATCTGTACTCCAAGCCTTCTAGGAGCATTCTTTAGCTATCCAGGAATGGACAGTCCTATTGCTTTTCAGCTGTTGCAATATGAAAAAGAACGAAAACAGTAGGCGTGGAGCTGTGGGAGCAGATACTAAGAGCCGTGAGACTCCCTAGTTTAGTATTTAAGGCATTCTCCTAGAAGAGGAACATTCTGATTTATTCAAATAAAGGTAGAATTCAATCTCATGTARAGGATCAGGGATTTAATCTATTGCACTGGTGAAGACCCAACCACTAACCCTTTCTCTGGAAAGTGGCTGTTGTAGTACTTTTTGTTAAACTCATCTGCTATTTATGCCATGAGAACATTTAGCAAATTAAACACCTTATATATGCACCTGCTTTGAAGAGCTTTAGGTACGTGATAGGCATTAACTGTTCCACCCTGTAAAATGTCATGATGGTTCTCAGCAACTTGTAGTTGTTTGAGAAACTTACATGTGGAAAAGTCTGGAATGAGGCACCTCTATGAATCATAGAATRATAGAATAATAAAATAGTTTGGGTTCAAAGAGATCTTTACAGGTTATAGAGTCCACCCCCCTTCAGCRAGTAAGGACATCTTCAACTGGATCAGGTTGCTCAAAACCCCACCCTGGCCTTGAATGTTYCCAGGGACAGGGCATCCACCASCTCTCTGGGCAGCTGGTCCAGTGTTTCACCATTCCCACTGTAAAACATTTCTTCCTTACATCTAATCTAAATTGACCATCCTTCAGTTTAGAACCATCGTCCCTTGTCCTGCTGCAGCAAGCCCTGCTCAACAATTTGTCCCCATCTTTATTATAAGCTCACTTTGGAGACTGTAAGGTCTCYCTGGAGACTTCAGGCTGAACAACACCAGCTCTCTCAGCCTGTCTTCATGGGAGARGTGCTCCAGCCCTCTGATCATCTTGGTGGCCTCCCCTRCACCCACTCCARCAGGTCCGTATCCATCCTGTGCATAGGACTCTAGAGCTGGATACAGAAGATATTGGATAAATGCACCAATATTACTACTGGTGACAGAATCCTCATATTCASCTTGGTCTCTTTTCCTTTGCTTGTATTTTTGCCTGACCTAGGCTAAATTTGTGTAAATCATTTTAAATTTGAGGGATAATGTCTTCACAAAGAAAAGATGACTGTTTCCCAAAAATAATGCATTGCAACCATAATGTCTGTGAGAATTTGCACTGATTTCCTTGTGACAGGTTRGAGAAAGTGACTGAGCCCTCCTGAATCGCTCAGAACCTGTTTATGGCTTTGGAATATTTTGTGAAATCTTTGCTGCAGAATTTTCCAGAGACCATGGGAAACTGAAAATCTTTATCATGTGCATTTAGGCATGTCATTTTCCAGGGGAAGAAATCTGACATAATAGCATCATGTTCTTGACTTATTCTGCCAGTGTCCACCATGGTAATGACTTCTTGTGGACGCATGATTTATACATCCAATTCCATCACATGAGCAATCCTATAAAAGGTGCATATTTTCATAAAAGTCTAATAGGGGTAAAAATCTCATAGGGCATTTTAGCATGAAACTGGAAAATGAGTTGCTGTGGATGTGTAATCTCTTCTGCTGAAGTCATCATAACTGTTCTGTGGGATCATGAATGACTATATCTTTAGGAAATTGCATTTTATGCATTTAGGAAGGTGATGTCTAAGGAGATAGAAAGTATATGGCTGTATAAAATAACATGTAGATTTTCGAAGGAACTATAAAATATTAGCCCTTTGAGTAGGAAAGATCTGTTTATCATGTTATCAGGTCTTGTGCAGGATAAAGTGTTTCAGTAATCTTTCTAGCATACTTTAAATATCTCAAGCTGTAGTGCCTTTAAAAGTACTTCCATTGAAAAATTGTTAAACTGTACCAACTGATTGCTACCTGGCATAAGTGAAGTTCTAACWGCAAGAAACATCTTTCTCATATGTATCAAATGGATTCCTGTTTTCCTTGAAGAGGTTATATGCCCTAGCAATTTTCTTATTTTCTATATGTGGAGCATAGGTTTTGATGTGAAAAATAAAAAATGGCCAAAAATACATCMAAACATTTCTATTAATTCATGAAATTAAGAAAACCTTTTTACATTTTCTCCTGTCACTGATTCCATTTGCTTTATTACTTTCAGCCTCTAGCCCACAAACTTGGTGGCACAATCAACAAACCCCTTAGTGGCTGTTTCATCTCTGCTCTATTTGATTTCTCCACTCYGAGTAAATGATTAAGTTTTCATGCATTGGTTCAACCAAAATCTATGTTCACTCAACCACATCCTTTATTGATTACTTCTACTGCAAACAGTAGGCCAAGTGTGATATACATAATTGGACAGTTGTCAGGGGATGTGGGTGTTAACAGTCCTGTTTTCCCAATTGGAAACTGGAATCACCTTGATACACAAATATTCTGCACTGTTTCATTCTCATTCCTTGGACCAAGGAGTCCTTTTCCTCAGAATATATGTTTTTAACTCTCAAAGGTCTGGTTGAATGGATTTAATGATTATACCATATAATATGCTCTTCAAGTTGCACCTGTGCACTGCATATAGAAAACTAGAAAAACTGGAATTAATATTTGTCTAACACTTTAACCTTGTCCTTTAACTTATATAAATCATATGCTGTATTTCTGTAGGGAAACATTTGATTTTCTTTTTTTAGGAAAAAAAATAGGTTAAAAAAATGTTTCTAATTCTAAGATTTAGAAGTCTTTTGACATTTGGCAAATGTTTACAGTCCRTTATGTTTCATATTCTCATGGTATTAAGATACTTAAATTAGGAAAGTTTAGTAAATCCAAGTCAGCTTATTGACCACTAAGCTTTATAATAGCATATACTTGAACATTTCAAGAATGTTAGTTTGCAGTGATTAACATTCTTTTGTAGCAATCTTGCTCATCTCAGTCACATGCAGACAATCACTGCAATATCATGAATTTGCAGCTTTGCTGTGTTTCCTGTTTTGTGGCAGGCTATTGTAATTATTCCAATGGCATAAAATGGGGAAGTGCAGAGTTCTGCCAGATTTTGAAAGCACATATCCCTAACATAGTCTATAATAAAAACTGTAATATAAATAAATACCAGGCAGTCATTTGCTGCAGGAATATACTTTGAAGGTGGTTTAGGATGGTGAGAAAATAGATCACAATTCTTTATCACTTACACAAATYCCTRTTTCTGTGAATTTCTTAATTAAGACTGGAATTTCTGTCTTGCTTGGTGCCTTGACATTTAGCATGCTACACTCCTRCATTAGTGACTCAAGTTCATGGCTWATATTGAGGTCAGCTGGAGTGACACTCCATCCTTAAAGGGAAAAGGGGCACAGTACCTTATTCACAGGCAAACTCAGATGTCTGTCTTATATCTTGCRCTCACGGTGCTGAGATCTTATATTGTTGCTATGACTGGCTTTATTAAAAAAAAAAAAAAAAGGAAATCTGCAAATGTTATTGGGAAAGTACATTAGCCAATTTTCAAGTTAGATGTAGCTGTGACCTCAGGTTGCTCTGAGCTCCCTGGGATTTGGGGGTGGCACCTGCAATCCACAGTTTATAGGTTTGCCTGTGTGACCCTGGCAACCTTTGATCCAGCCAGCCAAAGGGCAGTTTTGTGTTCCAGGGACAGGCTGTCACCCCCAGAACTGAGATACAGCACTTTTACAGAGCTACTACTGCACCACCAGATTCTAGAGAGTGAAATGGCAGGTATGAATGACAGAAAGCCATACTGAAAAAGCAGCTTTTTTACCTCCTTCCCTTATTTTGTCATGATGTGAGGTCCAGCTGAATTGAAAATATTATCAGCAGCACAGTAAAAAAAAAAAAAAGGAAAATCCAAAGCCCCTATTAAATCATCCAACTGTGTTTTCATTCTTGGCCCTAAAATATGCACAGTATTTTGAAGAAACATTTTGTTATGTTTTGCTGAAAGGATCTAGTTTTGSCCTCAGATATTCTGTGTGGAGTAGTTTTATTTGGCTCAGCACAGGTAGTGCTAGAGGCCATTTGCAATAAAATCCAGTCATGGATGAGTCATCACAAAGTRAAGTTACTTCAGAATAAGGGGCAGATCTTCAGCATTTGAAGAAACCATCTGAGTAAAAATTTAATTTTGTCCCTGTCCTTGCTTCAGTCAGGGAAAATCAAATGAAGCTGTGAAGTACTTGGGAGAGTTTATGAAGGATGCTGAGAGCGCTCATCTACGCCAAAGTCTGGTGGATGCAAATCTCTTGCTTGGAAAAGTTCACAATGAAAGAGTGAGTACTGTTCGTAGTAGTGATGTCAAATAACTTGGTTTACTTCATGGTGAAATCTGCTTTTAGATGCTGCTTCACAGGAGATGACACAAAATAATTTGATCCAGGTGTGGCATCTTGCAAGCGTTACCAAAGGAGAAGTCACTGTGTGAMTACATAAAATGTGCCTTAATTTTCTGTGAGAGGTGAAAATCTCACATCGTATTTAGCAYATGGAGTTTTGTTCTAAAATACATGAAAAAACTCCCAATTCAGATCAGGACAAACTTTCTGTTTTGTGAAAAATCTGCATCCAAATCACCTTTGGGGCCATATATGCCCATAAAGGATCTTCAGGTAATGCAAATGAAATTTTATTGCTCTGTACATGAATGTACACCGCATTGCATACTAATGAGCTGTTTATAATCGTAGCTTYTTTTCTGCTCTACATTCTCTCAGCCAAATTTATGAAATGGGTTTTAGCAGCAAGTAGTTTGTCAYGGGTCTGTTAGTGGTGGAAGGACTTTCTCTTCTGTCTCCTCTTGCACTGCAGTAACACCTGGGTTTTGAAATCAAAAGGATTAAAGACATTGCTGCAGAAATCAAAGATTCATGATGAGGCCTTTAACACCTGTTTTAGAGCTGAAATGCTAGACAAAATTATTTGGATACAATAAGTAATGAAAAGAATTTRTTCTGCATGCTGGATAATGTGGAACTTAGGAAACATTTTCACTATGAATAAAATAAAAATAGAAATACCCTTTCAAAATTATCCTTTCTATCTTCTGTTGTCTATTTTTTGGTCATGAATTCTATATGTAATGTATTGAACAGAGTACTTTCCCCTTTGCACTTGGACTGCTTTCCCCTTTGCACTTGCACTACTCCTAATGCCTCCTTTTTTTTCTGAATCCCTCTTACAGAGAACTTCCACTACTAAAATTGCTGTGCTGTTTTTATTTCATAAGCAGTAGAACTGTGTTGAATTATTCTTCTCCAAATCTGCAAATAAATTGTGTTTAAGTACTTCTGTATTACATTTCTTCTGCCACCACACTAATAATCAATTCAATAGACCTGGCATTCCAAGAATTAATCTCTGTTTGATTATTCTTKAAATTCTCCTTTTCAGTTCAGAATTTTCTGCCTTGAGCTGGGGCAGCAGTGTAGAAGGGCACAAGTGCAGTAGCTTAAYCTTGTTAATTTATATAAATTATTTAGTTTAAACATAAATAAAAAATTCTTGATGTTCGCAGTTCCCTATTTTCTATACCATTGTTTTTCTGCAAAGTCATCAATGTTTACCAAAACAGTGTAAATTAACATTTCCTCTTTTGGATCACTGCCTGCTGGTGTCAGCTGTCATCACCAGTATTCTGTAAGTTAAGTCATTATTAGSGTCTTTTTATTCAACTCTGTACACCCCCCACTGATAAAATTTGCAGTAGTACTGTCCATCAAATTAAAGATATCTCTATTTATACCCAGATCTGTCCCTGAGGACCTTTAGTAAACCAGGGATATAATTCTTCCTGTTCTTCCAAACACAAGTCACTGACCAAATTCACTTTGCTCTGTCCATACCGTTGCTGTACCTTTACAGTTCTCTCATCTCACTGTTCCCTCACCATCACTTTCTTTAATGCCATATGTTCARTTTGCTTTCTGGTCATGATGGTTTTAACCAGATGGTTTTGGTCTCCTAAAATGCCTGTTTTTGCATTATGCAGGAGTTAGGTCTCATTTCTCCAGTTTGTTAGGCAGGCTGCTTACTTAATATATATGCTTTGAAGTTAGCATAATACACTCTATCTTTTCTCATTTCACTTTTTGCCAGTTTCTTAGTCTGATCTKCTGCATTCTTCTCACTAATTGCATCACTTAACCTGCTATACTTCTCATGAGTATGGTAGGTAGATGTTTCTCCTTTTATTGTATTATAGCTTATTCTTTATTTTTACTGTGTCCTCATAGGCCTAATTCTGCTCTTCTGCTGTATTAAACAAAGCTGAAAGACTACCAGAATGTCTGTTACTGTTTTTGTCCTTTTTTATTTATAAGCAGACTTTGGCAGTTACAGGAATTTTCATCCCAAAAAAGTAGTATCAAGTGAAACGTGTACCAGTTGGAGTCTCTCCTCCCAGTCTCTATGCAGAAGGGGATTTCAGTCTTACTAAATCRAGATGAAAGTGAAAAGATAAGACAGGTCTGAAAATGTTTTCAGTCAGGAAGTTTCTGCCACCAAGGCAGCAGAATTCCACACCAATGGTAGGATCAAGAGATAAATTATTTGAGTTTTCTATTCAGTAACAATTGRGTTACATTTCTCCTACTGTTTCTCTCTCTGTGACCAGGAATATACCTGGGTTTTGGTATACCCCTTTCTTCCCCCATAAATGAGTAAGTTTTAATTTGTGTTCTTTTCTGTGCTTTATGTCTATCACTTCATTACCCTCTTTTTTTCCACTTTTAGGATTTATGTTTTAAAATTTAGTGCCATCATAAATTAGGACCTTTCCTCCCACAGGTATGGTGAATGCAATGAAACAATACCAATAATTTCTAAATGGTCTGGCTGCAATCTTCATTAATACTTAGCATTGATATGCGTGGTTCTGTGTGTTCAAAATGCTACAGAGATAACAAAAAAAAACCAAAAACACATTCAGTTCCTGAGAAAGGCAAAAGCAGTGTTATCTGGATTTTAGAGGTTAGAAGACAGCAAGGGAGAGTGATTTACTTAATGCCTGCCATGAGTCATTCTGTGGGCTGCCCTGTCTGCTGCAACATCTGTGAGGCATCAGAGGAGCAGGCTCTAATGTCAAGGCAAAATACAGGTGACTATAAGTAGTTTTTAATTCTTTTTTTTTTCTCTTCTTTACTAGGGGAACTATAATGAAGCTTTAGAATGTTTCAGTCAGGCTTCTCAGGCAGCGAAAACTTTAAACAATTTGCCCTTAGTGGCTGAAACAGAGAGTTACTGTGGCATCGCGAAGGCTCATCAGCTGATGGTGGCATTTAACAGCCACGTAGCAGCAGCAGCAGATCCCCTCAGCCTGCAGCACCTACTGGCATGGAAGCAAAACAGAAGTGACATGTGCACTGACCCTCTTACAGTCGGTAAGGCATTGGTTATGAAACACATTAGTGCTGTATTGTCCTCAACAGTTAAGTCATTTTTCTTGTAGAGTTTTATTAAATTATTTCCTGGGTTTAATCCTTGTGTGGAATGAAGGTTAGACTTACTCCTTTGTGCGTTTGTTTTAGAGGCTGAATTAAACAAGTTAAAATGCAATATAATAGGAGAAACCAGTAGTTGCTCTGATGCTAACTTACATTTTTTCAGTGCTGTTTGCCAAAACATCACAGRTACATGTTTTAGTCAAAATATAATTCTTTTAATCTTTAGAGAAAATAATAATAATAATCTTAATCTGCAGTACTTTTTTCAAGTGCATGAAAAAATAAGATCCCTGTTACTAAAAGTGGGAAGTAACTTCTGCTTGACATAGTTCTGAATCCAGAAGAACATGCTGCTTTATTTGTGGTATCCTTTTACTTGCCATTAGAGAGAAAAGGAAAAAATAAAACAAGTCTGTTTTCTTTACCATGTTTCCTTATCTCAGAAAGAGCAGAGGARGACTTGGTGTAGAGTAGACCTTCTTCTTCATGGGTTAAATTTTCTTTGCTCTTTTTCCCTTGTACAATACATTAATACAAGACAAACTAAATTATGTATTACCTTCATGTACTGATAGCATTGAACTGTATTGTACTGAGGAAAGGGGAGGTATAAGTCTACTCTACCTTAAAACTTCCTCCTCTGCATTCTTGTGAAGAGCATGAATCTGGAGTACAGTAGAAATAAATGACAGCTGGGGCAGTCACAGTATAGAGCTTCWGAGTCACTGTGTTATTCCCTCAGTTATTCTACTCCTGAAGATTAAGAATGGCCTGGCTGCTGCTTTCTTGTGTATCTCACCGTGGAAAATTAAGTATAACTTCAGTAGTGAATTTTGTATATAAAGTAAGTGGTAATTTAAGATATTAGCAGTTTAACAGGAGCCAGGATACCAGAGGCAACACTGGGAGCTACTGAGAATTATGGAACAAGGCATTCATTTGCAGGCTGAAGAGATAAATGAGATAGAATTCTCTTTAAAGATCTAGTGATGGTARCAGTTTTTCAATGGTTGTATATAGATATTTGTGATTTTTGTCTCAATAAGTGAAATTTGTTGTCTCATCTAGCACAACAAAACAACAGATTTTGTTGACTGCCACTGTTATTTGGGTACATGTCTCCTGTCTAGACCTGTAGTGCAAATGCCAACAATTCTTACAGAGATGGTCAAAAAAAGAATCCCATGTCAAGCAATTTTATCTACATTGCATATTAGGATCACTGTCTGTAGCTGCTGCAAAAAGGAGGCAAACAAAAATCAACAACGGTGACAGCAAAAAAAAAAAAAACCTGGAACCTCAAAGACATAAGATGAACTTTGTATCTCCAATATGTATTTTGGTTCTTTCACCTAAAGAGGTTTTTTCTTCAGTTTTTACACATCACTTTTTCCAGTCAGTTGTGAAACTCRTTTATATCCTGAAATGATATGTGGCCCTTTAAGATCAAGATTTCTGCTCCTCTTTAACAGTACTTCAGGGATAAACAGAGYATGATTAGAAAAGCCCTTTATGTCCTGGCAAGCGTGGTACCACAAACAAGTTTTGCCTGCTGAGATTCTCTTCCTTCTGTATTTCTGCYTAGTTTACCCTCTGTTACTTTCAGTGTTGCGGTTTTCATTTCAGTTCCAGTTCACTCCAGGAACCCTGTGGCTACTGCATATTTAGCAGCTCTTCCAGTTCAATATCATTCTTCTCATTAGTGCTCCAAGCTTACTCTCATGATACCCAGATTACATCCAGGAAAACACAGTGTCACACTGTCAGCACAATCTGTAACATTCCTCATGTTTCGTGTGCCAAATCTCTCGTTAGTGCTGGCATTACATTTTTAATATCTTTGTCTGGCAAAACATGACCTGGCACCAGTTCAAGATTAGGATTTGCTGGCTTTGAGTTTCAGGTACAGCCTTTATTCTACCTTCCAGGAGAATGTCTGTGCATCCTATGATGAACTCATCACTTAGGAAATTCCTGCTGTGATAATAGAGCAGTATTTCTAGCTCTTTCAAACATCTCAGTGTTGATAATCTACTAGATTTTTCTCAGTCTTTTTGAGGATAGAACAGATAAAGACAAGATACAATGGTAGTTGTTAATCTGCAGGGAAATTTAATGAAAGGGAGAAGAAAGGTAGTAAGTTTTTATTTGTAACTGTTCTGACAGAAAAAAGTTTCTGTGTCAAAAAAAAATAAGAGTAGTTTCTGTATTCTTAGGCAAAAGAAATACTTAAGCTAGTGGGGGAACAATTGCATTTAAATTCAAATACTGCCATATACCTTATGTCTTTCAACCAAGACTTATTTTCTAAATCAATCATTTCAATAACCAGGCAATTTACCTCAACATATATTAATAAAATAGATGTTTTGACCAGAGTTGTCACGAACAAAAGGGATGGGATTGTCAGAAAACAATGCTTAAAAATGCAAAGGAGAATGTGTTTTTATCTGCTGCTTTTGACTCAGTCACCTGACCTCACAARAGTTACTTATATCATTGTGAGATGCCCCTGCAACAACAAATATGATTTTATTGTTCTTTTTATGTTTAGTAAAATGTATAAAAAATATCAGCAGAATCAGTAGGCAAAAAGAATTGTGCCCCTAAAAAGGAGCCCACAGCCTGACTAATATTGCCTGATGAGAAAACATTTCACAGATCTTTCAATAAATAATCACCTGACTTTCTGCCTTCTAGAGGAAAGAAGAGTAATTAAAGGTGCTGAAGGCAGGAAATTTTTGAATCAGATTTTGCATGTTGATTACATGAAATGCTGACCAGAATTTTTTTTCTGTGGGTCTGGCAATTCTTAGTCCAGGTTTTTGCATCTGGCAGGGCTGTGCCTCAACATGAGCCCTTGAAAGTTGAAAACGTCTAAACACTTTCAAAATGTGATGTTTTCCTCACCCTACAAAGTCGTCAGTTGTTTTCTTGAGAAACAGTATGTGCTTTTGACCACAATTTAGACTTTCATTTCTTGACTTTGGAGAACTTGGCAAAATTGACACATTTYACCATAGGTTTCCTGTGTTTCTTTTGCTGGAGTTTTTTAAGATRGCTTTAAATACTGCATATTGTCTTATCCATGTCATCAATTGTGAAATCTCATTATCAGTGGAATTATCTGGTACTAATAATGTCAGCATGATCAGGACTATTTCTAGCATTCCACAACTAAGTAGCCTTCAGTGTAATTTCAAATGCATTCACTGGCTAAAGCTATGGCTGGGAAAATACAATCCAATGAGGTTTTGTTCTTACTCCCAAATATGTAGTCCCTCAGTATTCTTTGTCCAGCCTCCCCTCATGGATCTAAGGAATGGTACATTCCATAGTGTGCCTGTTTCCTTTTGTGTTGGGTAAAAAAAATTACATTTTCATCCTAGTGATTCACATTTTTAAAGCTCTTTAAAATGTTTTATAGTCATTTTTCTGTGAAAGATGTGGCTAGCACAAAATTTCTTTGGAAAATAGTTTTGCAAAACAGTGATCTTGCCAGGTGCATTTTAGATTGAAATTGTGTGTAACTTTGTCACTCATTAATAAAAGGATTATCCCTAAAGGGTGGGAAAGTCAGAAGTGAGATACGAGATCAAAGATCTCATAAAATTAAAAAAATTTAGTTAACATTTCTCTATTGTAACTTACCCCAGCTGTGTAATTTATGGGCCATTTTGGTATAGTGTCCAACTGCAGATCAGGCTGCTTCATAATGTGATAAAGTGGTTTTTTTTACTGTTTCTTCTGTCTAAAGTATGGGAATTCCAGGAGCACTTCTAACGTTACCTCCTCCCTCTCAGCASTCTGTGCACTGTGTGCTAGTCTGGAGATGGTACCAGATAATTCCAYTGATAGTAAGACTTCACAATTGATTGCATAGGTAAGACAATACACAGTGTTTAAAGCTATCGCTAAAAACTTGAGAGAATTTTGTAGTTTCTCAGAAAATGCAGCTGAACTATGACTTTAAATTATGTAAAGGAGGTGTGTGACCAAGTATAGACTCTAAGCCTGTMCCTATGCCAGAGGCACAAAGGTTCACTTCTTAATAAGCCTGTTTTGAAATAGTTCAAATGCTTCAGTCCTCTACTGAAATTCACAGGATAGCTTCTGCACCTTTTGGTGGGGTTTCTTACACAGAATTATGTGCTCCCTTCTGGAAAAATACAGAGGTTTAAAATGCTGAAAGATATACATTTAAGAAAATCTTTAGGGAAAAAAAAGTTGAGAGCTGATTCTGTATTTTTTTTTTCATAAAATTTGCTAAACTTGTGCTGCCTTTTCTTATTCACCTAGCACCCATCACTTGCTAAATTTTCTTGTCTCACCCTTAGCTTTCWAGCATATCAGTCATTTTTTTATATTAATGCTAGATTCAGTCTTAAAATATTCTTCACTAAGCCTTCATACACTCTTAACCAMGTGTGAAATAGACTATGCTTGTGTATAGATGTTGATGGTATGGAACAGGCATGTTTCTGAAAGTCAGCTTGTGGGGTTCATATATATGTTATGTTATTTATTGTTAGCTGGGATTTGYTTTTTAAGTATGTGTTAAGTCTGCTTAGAGATAGACTGATATTTTTGGCAAGTGAAAGTGATTATTGCGTGGACTACAGAAGGAATCAAGTGTGAAGACAAGCACTGAGGGTGACAAAGGGTTTTTCAGCACATTGTGATCAGTGGCTGAATGCACCAGATTCTCAGTGAAGAACCTGAGAACGCAATATAAACATCTGTGTCAGTTTTGCCTTAAGTGCAGTAGCTTGTTCTGTTTTCTGTTGATAGCTGAAGTTTGTCTGCAAAGAGAGGAGTGCTCATATTCAATGCTCTCATGTTTTGTACAAGTACAATATCCAGGGAGTTTTACWGTGATTTCTTTTTAAATACTGACTTAAATAATTAGGAATTGTTAGATGGGATCAGATCTTGGG